TTCAACTATGACATAACAGATACGTAAATGGGGCAACATTTTCATTTTTTTAGGTCTTTTCTAATATCAATCCGTATAATTGTTAAAATAGTTCTTCAAAATCGATTAAACTTGTGCACGGAACTTAAGCGTTAAATTGTGGGTTTTTTATGATTTCCAAATGCAAAGTCTGAAACTATATCTTTTTATAATTACAATACTAATGATAGAAATGTTAAAAAAAGATAGCAGAAGAAAATATTCTGTTTTTTGTCTAAGTAAAAAGAGTAAAAACAGAAAGTTGGTGGCTGCAAAACTCTTTACCTCCTTCTAATAAATAATGATTTTTAGAATCAATTTATTATTTTTCTGTAACTTGTTTATCACTTTTTATGACGCACACTCCTTTTCAAACATACTTATTTTTTCAGACTTTACCAATATTTCACCCAGACGTGACCTGTCTCACTTCTATTGCTTATATTGTAAAAGAGATATATTTTTGTTTCAAATGAAAGAAGCATTTGAGTACTATAAGCTAATACTAATTTTACTATTATTACAATACATTAAATCTAGACTCAAATCTTCGACAGCAGAGATGGCGGTTAAACTTTAGAAATTAATCATCAGAATTGCGTCTTCCGATGCAACTCCCTGTAACATGTACTCGGTGCTCGAGGGCACATAGACCATTAAGACATTAACGCGAGAGAACTATGTAACCACAGATATAGAATGTTAAGATTCAATGAAAAGTTAAAATAATTACACAAATTTATTTTATTTTGACTTATATTTTATAGTTTTACTTTGAATTGCATCGTTTAAATCAATTATAGCAAAAAAAAAGGATTTCTTAACCATTTCTAAATAATAAAAACATCAAAACGTGGACACTTAAATTGGCTCAAAGATATAAATGTAGCAACATAATAATCCATAATAAATTTTTATGTTTGCTTATATAATGCTTCAAATTCCAACTAAAATTTCAGTATAGAAGTAAACTTCATTCCACTTTTTATGCAACTGATTTAATGTGCCTATGTAATACTCTTCATATTTTCGCAGTGGCTCCGAAATTCCGAGTCGGAAATATTTGGTATTAAGATCGTGGCTGGAAAAGTTAAGTGGGAAATAATTTCCAAATACATATGTATGTTAAATGTTCACAACCTAAATACAGGTTAAAATAAACAAAGAGATATAGGGATTTATTTTTAATATTTCAGAATTATGTTAAAAGTTGACAATTCAACTTATCTACGACATAACAATTAAATTTGTAACCGATTAGCTCTAAAATATAATTCGAAATTTGACACGAATTTATTGAGTGTAATCTCAAAAGTAATAAAAAGTTGTCTCTTGAACGGGTATTTGAAACTACAAGGATATAGTGTTTTGGCAATCTTGGCTACGGAACTCCATAAAAGTTGTAATCTTTATTTAAAAAGTTTAACAGTAAAATATTCTGAACCACGGATATGTTGACATCGTAAAGCAAGAAAGATACCTATAGAAGCTCTCCAATGTATTTTATAGGAAGTAATCTTTTCATTAAAAAAATTAATAATGTTTATCTAAGTTGTATCTAAAGGTTTTAATAAAATAAAAAAAAATATAATCATCAGTTACCCCAATTAATGCTTACAAAGAATTAATCAGCTATTAGCAAACAAACTCGAATACTGACTAATGAATCTCTAATATGGATTTTCTTTCATAATTTATAAGGGTCTAAGCCCTGCGGCTGTTAATACATAATTAAAAGGTAACTTGCTGCTAGAATTATCACACGATATTAAATAAATGTTTTATACCTACCATAACATTAATGAATAACATAATGTTTAAAATCATAAAAGATTTATTTTCTACAAAATGTTAACACAACCAATGACAGAAATAAGAATTCTTACATTTTTAAAAATATTTAACCACAAACTTAGCGCTAGTTTAAATGAGTATTGGCTAAGATAACGAAACGAAGCAATGTATCTTATTTATTGAGTAAAAAGTTGTTGGAAGCCAATTCAAGAGTTATTGACTTATGGAGTTTTCAACTGCACTGCTGTAAATTTATCCTCTTTGAAATAACTTTCTTCGTGTTAGTCATGTACTGATGTACCTAAATTTGGAGCGTAATGTAAGAGAAAAAATTCATTAAGCAACTGATAAATCAATGGACGCGGTTTTATTTATTGTGTAATTTATTACTGTTCGAGTAACTTTTAATTGTACCATTCGTGACGTTTTTATTGCTTAAGCCTGGCGTTTGCAATTTTCAGTGACTAATTACAAATCAATTATCCTTTTTTTGTAGAAAAGCTTAGAATGAATGTTTAGAAATAGCAATTTTATTTACTTATTAAAATATAAATTACTTTTTTGTCCAAAGAAAGAAAATGTATATCTTGTTCTGACAAGACTATCAGACAGACTATCTAAACTGCCGAATTGTTAATATAAATGAAGATCACGTCAACTACATTAAGACATGGAGAGTGAGGATTGCTTACGTACATCAAAGGTTGTATAGGATTTCGTTACTACCCACAAGATCGTGGTTGGCAAAGCGGGCCATTAGTCAGTAGCCGACGCATAAATTATACGCCCAATTAGTTACATTGATGGCGAATAGCGATTAGATATCTAGATGCAAATATACGGATAAATAAAAGCCGTTCTAACAAAGAAAACAAGGATGAATGAAAAGATTTTCACATACGTATATTGAATACTCATTTCATTTCATTATTATATTTTATTATTTATAAAATCAAATTGAAAAATAATTTGATAGTTATTCTCATATTTCTTTCTATTTACTTCGTTATTATTGCACAAAATATTATTAGTGCTAACTTACAATAAAAATTCTGTTTCCTCAGCACATGAAAATGATTTCTAAATATCCGTCAAATCTAAATTTACATATTGAAATTTTAATTTAAAGAATGATGGAGAAAATTTAAATGACGTGGTTTTCTTCCATGTTTTCTACTAATACTTCACGTACAACTTGCTGCATCATCTTCATATATTCTAATGATGTACAAGATCTTCATATTCTAATTTATATGGTAATACCTTAATTATATTCACACAAGTGTGAAATCGTTTTCATATTATGATTATTAAAGTCAGTACACCTGTTATTTTAGCTTCACTTGAAGTCAAATACCAAATTGTACTTTCAAGTACTGCTATTTTCTATTATGTTTTGTATATTATAATGTATTTTTAAAAAGGCAATTATTAATAATTCTCCTTTTGAACTTTTATGAAAATTATCATACAAAATCATATGAAAAAAGATTGCTATACTTAGATACTCTCAGAAATCGTATTATTCTATAAAATATAATATATTATTTATTTTCAAATAGCAGAAAAATTATAGGAAACGCAATTTTTTTCTAGGTATACTAGGTCACTTGCCAGAAAAACGTGGACACGAGGTGCTAATCCAAAATAATTAAATGGTGGGGTTGAACCGTACAAGAATGTTGTTAAACTGTTTGAGAATACCTTGCTAGTACATATTTAGATCCCAACAGGCTCGGAATCCCTATCAAATGATATCTGAAAGATTTGACTCCTGTCTATACAAAATATATTTGATACCTTGACCTTCATTACTGTCGACAAAGCTTTAAGAAGAATTGTCACCGAGTTATGATATTTTTGTTACTTTTTCGTTTTAATAACATAAAAAATCTTATTATTCTGACGTAACATTATGTCGCAATTATATCTAGAACAGCCTTTTTATTACAAAATCAATAAAACAGGTGATGGTCATAAATATTGGCACTTATAGATAAAGGTACGATATAAAGTCGAGTGCCCCAGTCATTAAGGAGATTTTATTAGCTCGTTTATCAATTAATCATTTATTATCCTTGACGTCATGAAATATTAAAAGGGCAATAAGTACGTACTATTACACTAGAATATTACAATCTCTGATTTTGCTACGTTATCCATTAAACTGAGATGGATGGGTCCAGAAGTTTCAACATTTTTACAATTTAACAGTGTAATCGATTTACCAAAATCCAAACGAGACATCGCAGCTTCGCAGGGAATTGATTTTTTTAAGCCGCACAAGGCCTTTATGTATTTTCTAGTTTTATTTGGGAAAACATTGCGGTAATAATTTAGCGAGCGGACGGCTGCTCGAATAAAAGTCGAAAAATGTCCCGCCGGCCACATGGGTGCGGCCTGTTTCGGTCGCGTTGCTCCACATTCCATTTTAGCGTATGACAGTCCACAATGGACTTTTAATGGACCTTTATACTTTAACACGAAAGCACTAGGAAAATAGACAAGCTTTTAGTTCAAGACAAGAAAGAACGTTGAAAAGCCTGCTAAAAAATAAAATGATAATATAAAAAACACAATATTTTTTACTACATTTTAACTTTAATACCAATTAACATTAAAGCAAACCAGGTGCAGGGAATGCTCACACAACACAGAACTACATATTTTTACTCATATATCTTCCACGTAGAGAGAGAACCCATCACATTTTTGTTATGTGTATATATTCAATACTTGAATACTCAAAGTAAAGTCTATAAATTTATAATCAAACCACTAGAAAATTCTTATCTAGAAATAATAATACTCTGGCGTCATTTTAATGGAATTCAAAATCATAGCAGATATTTAGAGATGAGCTGTAAATGTATCTGCATCCGTAAAAACTTGTCAAAGACAATTTGAGAACACATGCTTAACTTAACAGATTTTTGTCTCATCATTCAAAAATTTCTTTCATGTTATTTTTCACATTTAGCCTTGTTAACAAGTAAGTAATTATGCATATTGGTACAATGTTTCAAAAATTGTTTACCTATTATTTGTACCTCTTTTTATCAGTGATTGCTCTTGAAGTCAATGGTTTTGATAACATCATGTTTATAAGCGATGATTTCATTTGGTTCGGTTTTATTTGTCAATACATTTGTTTCGGTATAAGAAAATAAAATTAGTGATAGAGGAAAATGGCAAGTTCATATACAGTTGTAGTAAGCTTTGTATTAGCTTTTTATTGTGTATCTGCTAAAGAAAGTAAGTTGCTTGAGTTTTAAGTTTCATGCTAAGTTTTAATATTTTAAAAACTGTCATGTTCTGAAGTTTGTTTTTTAGTTTCAAAGAAACATTTACGTTCCGACTCTATGTTAAAATAAGCTCCGGGATCTGAAAAAATTTCTTTTCTATCGTTTTATTATTAGGATCATACAACCCTTTTTTTGTTCATGACTTTCTCGGGGAATTCTAAAACAACATAGTATGTAGTTACAGCAACTATCTCACCAAAGTTAGCTTACAAAGAGAGGTGACAAAGGACAACATACTTGCACACCAATATTAACATAGATGTTATCATATCTCGTTTCGACAAAAACCTGTGATTTACACACTTTTAAAACACAATATGACGTAGTATTGTTTTCAACTCAATTTTACATTAGCTTAAAATGCTTTTCCGATATCATATGAATATAAAAAATATATTTTTTTTGTTTTTCAGAAATAGTAGGCTGTTATTATGGCACGTGGGCAACATACAGAAATGGCCTAGGAAAATTTGATGTCAGCAACATAAATGTAGATCTGTGTACACATTTAGTTTACACTTTTGTCGGTATTTCTAACGATGGAAATGTCATATCTCTTGATCCTTACTTGGATTTACCGGACAATTGGGGCAGAGGTATAGTTTAATATTAAAGACGTCATTTTTCTTCTGGCAATACCTTTGATAATATCTAAAAGTAATATTCTATTACTAATGATAAGATAATTTCAGATAATTTCGGGAAATTTAATGCTCTCAAGCAACAAAATCCGAACCTGAAAACAATATTGGCCGTTGGAGGATGGAACGAGGGCTCCGCAAAATACTCAGTGGTAAGTATTAAAAGTTTTTCAATAAAAATATAGGAATATAGACAACTGATACAAGTTATTACTTTTATTAATTTTATAGGTGCTATAATTGTATAGGTGTTAAGACACGTCTCATTTAATTCGGTTATAAAATAAATTTCTTCTTTTGTAATTAACCAGCCTTTTTGAATTTCAAAATAAACAGAAATACAAAAAAACAAGCATTATTTTATTTTGCAACGAAATTTATCACTAAAACACTTATTATATAATATAAAGTAGGTACATATTTAAGTAAAATATCATTAATACTATAAGAAATATGTCTTCATTTTTAGATGGCAGCCAATCCCACTCTTCGGAGAAACTTCGTAACGAGTGCCCTAAATTTCGTTAAATCATACGGCTTTGATGGCCTGGACGTAGATTGGGAATATCCGAATGCACGGAACTCAGTAAATGGTCAAGCTGACATCGATAACTTTACACAGCTCCTAAAAGAATTAAGGGAAGAGTTCGATAAATATAATCTTTTACTAAGTTCTGCTGTTGCTTCTGTTAAAGATAAGGCCTCACTCTCCTACGATATACCAGCAATTTCACAGTAAGTTTTAATATTTTGTTTCTTAATTATATAATTATGTTGTATAATTTAAAAATATATAAACGATATAAGCTCGTTAAAGAAATAATAGTAGACTGCAATTTTAATTTCGTTTTAAAATTAAAATAATTATACAAGTTCGTATTTATGGCTTTACAAAATTGCATCTCACTCTTTTCATTATTGACTCAAATAAAAAATAGTCTTATTTTAAAATTTCTAAGTCAAATTAATGTAACTTTGTAGATTAGACTACTCAAATATTATTTTACTAAATTTGAAATACTTTTTCTAACATAATTATTTTTCAATTGGATTTTAAGTTGAGTCTCTGAGTTTTTTTTTTACTAAAACCAATTTCAGCTTTTCCCGAAAAATAAATGAATCATATTGTATATTTTAAATTTTTAATGAAACGGTTTTAATCGATTTCATTCAAAACTTTGAATATTGAACAATTTGCATCAGGTCTATTGAATATTCTTTAAATACGAAATGATCAAAAGAGTCTATACCTAATAGGAATATTGATATTCATTTTTTTTATATATAAGACTCAATTTAGTAAAGACCACGATGTTAGCAAAAAAAATGTATAAAATTATATCAAAATAAAAAATATTTATTAAGTTAACACCAGGAGTATTAATTGGTAAATTGTAAAATAGTATTTCTATTTTATAGATATTTAGATTTTATCAATATAATGGCTTACGACATGTATGGGCCTTGGGAACCAGTGACCGGACATAACGCTCCATTACACAAAGGCGAAGGAGATGAAAACACACCAAAAGAAAGTATTTATTCTGTAGATGTCGCTTTGGAGTATTGGCTAAGTCAAGGTAACCCAATATTGGTGATATGAGCATTCTATGTATTAATTTATAGTTACGTTAAAAATTAACGTAATATCCTTTTAATTTCAGGATGTCCCCCAGAGAAATTAATACTCGGACTTCCATTGTATGGTCATACTTTCAAATTACAAAATGCTGCTGTGAATGGAGTTCGTTCTCCGATAAATGGACCAGGAATTGCAGGTCCTTACACAGCTACTAATGGCCAAATCGGTTACAACGAGGTAATTTCTACCAATTAACTTCTTCTTGTTAGATATTATACCGTAAGTCAATAATTACAGAAAAACACAACAAAATACTTTCTATCCTTTATCAAGCATCTTTTGTTAAAATTGCCTAATATATACTGTATTAAGCAATAATATTAATATTTAATTAATAAAAATATTTAATTTTCAGTTTTGTGATAAAATCCGAACAGAAACCTGGGATTTGCGTTATGATAATTTAGCAAAAGTACCTTACGCTGTCCAAGGTACAAATTGGGTCTCGTATGATGATGAAAATTCTTTAGTCGAAAAAGTTGAATATGCCTTAAACTTAAATATTGGAGGTGTAATGGTTTGGAGTATAGAGACTGACGACTTCCATGGAATCTGCCACTCTGTAGATTTCCCTTTATTGAGAGCTGTTAATCAAGCTGTCGGCAGGTCTCTTCCTTCACCATCTCCTCCGACATCAGTTTCTCCTACTACTAGTTCGTCAAATGTACCCGATACTACCATTAGCACTACAACCTCTTCGTCTACGTCAGGTAAATATGCTTCTTTTGAATAAAAGAAAAATCTTAGCGTTTAATAAGCAAACTGTTTTTAATTTTATATTCATCAAGTGAATAAGATGTCACAAATGAAGGCAATAAACAATTCTATTTTAATCTATAGAAAAAAAGCTTCAAAGCTTTCATTATATTAGAAACATTTTTTAATACAAAAATATTTTTTTTTATTACTCATTATTTAATCATTCATTCAATTTATTTATTATTAATCATTTTTTTTTAGAAACTACTGAGAATCCATCTGTTTGCAAAGAGGAAGGATTAACCGCAAATCCAAAAGATTGTTCATCCTTTTATATGTGTGTACGAAGTGCTGATGGTTTCACCCATTTCATTCAGTATTGTCCATCGAATCTCTATTGGGATCAAGATAAAAAAATATGCAACTATGCAGACTCAGTACAATGCGAAGCTTAAAAATATAATTACTATTACTATTTATTGATTCTGAATATGATGAACCTAAATTTTTATTGCCTGACACTTAGAATATCCATACCTATCATTTTATCAAAGTTTGATCATTTTATCAAAACATGTTGATAATAAAAATACTATACAATTTTATATAAGACTCGTGTTTCTATACATGTAAACTAAGATGTTCTTATAATTAATAAATGATAATTTTAAAAAAGCATCTAGCATTTTGAGATTCAATAAAAATTAGGTAGATTTGAGAAATATATCAAAATCAATTTAAATACCAAATAAATAGTTTGAGTGGCTTAATCAAAAGATAAGAACATTATTAATGATCAAATTTAAGAAATTATTATACTAACTACAACACTTATAACAACTTAAATCAGTAGCTAAATAATAACTCAAGACAATTTCAGTACAATTTCAAGAAACACAGATGTTTTGCGCGCTTGAATGTCAAACCCATAACGTACATTTGGAAGTTTCTGAGTGGGACATGAATTAAGTATAAAACTTTCACTCCTTTCTTGTTTAAACAATCATTAGATATGTCTTAGAAAATAATATTTATATTACTTATAGTCTTATAAAATTATGTTTCACTGTTCACGTCAAAGAAAACTGTTATTTTTCTCAGAAATATATAAGGTAATGTTACCAAGACTTTACGAGTAGCTATGTGAAATTAAGGTGAGATATGTTACTTAATAATATATTTTGTTTACATATACGTCACAGGAATTCCTTGATATTATAAGACATATGAGTATTTTAAGACAACGTTTTAATAGCCCAATCCTAATAAAACAATAATAATGGAATCTTCATTACAATTTTTTTGACTTAAAGAAAATAAGGCGTCTTATATATTTTTATACTATCGATTAAAAGTTGTAAAACATAGTTATTACTGTTTTATATAACTGTCAATGGTCAATTTTTATAGAATATTTGTCGTCTTTTTTCAGTAAAACAAAGAAACAAAGTAATGTAGCAACACAATCCACAATTCCCTTCTCGTCACAAAATAATAATAGAATACAAATGAACAATATAATCATCAGAGCGGACTACAATCACTCCAACAATATAACAATACTATCACCAGAACTAAAATACACGCAAATATATATATATAACGATACAACTTTGTTTTTAAAATTATTCAAATCTTACTATTAATAGATTTCGAGGAATTGTGGACTTAACAAAAACAGAAAAACTTGAATCTATTATGATACTTTTTAATATGACCCAAGAATATTCTTTTCTGTTTTGTCTTATCGTTTGTCTCTGATATAAACATCCCATTGTAGAATTATGAATTTTAAAATATTTTACAAATATATTGCGACGTTATTTTGTTTCCATTTATTGTTATCTATATATTTTGTAACAATGGAATTTTCATAATCTTAAATATAGAAATGATAAATAATTTTCACACGAATTAATATATGTTTGATGTATACGTCTTTTTAATTACGACGTTTACTAAATCTGTCTTTAGTGTTATGAAATGTGTTTAATGTAATCAGACGCTGCCGACAGTACATTTCTCAAAACCTATAGAGTATGATTAATGTTCTCGGAATTGATATTTAATTGCCGTTTAGACCTATTTAGATGATATTTCATGACAGTCTTGATGGAGTAATTAATACGAGGAATAATCCTCTAGATCTATAATATTATGTATATATGAATAAAGAAAAAATATATTAAAATCACAAAATTGTTCAGTAACGGACTCAAAGATGATATTTTTTATGTTATTATAAGGTATTTAAAAATACGTTTGATCTCAGTTTCAATGTTGAGAGTCTATTATATTTCTAATCAGCAACACTAAGCTAAAAAAGTAATCAAAACAGTCTAAGCCAATCTTTGAGAACAAAAACCGCAATCTGTAGTTGCGATGTTAACTGCTGGCCAATTCCGGACTCCTAATTAGGGTTGCCAAAGTGTTTTTAAGTTATATATTTTACATTTTTAATACTTTACAGACAAAAGACGACGATTTTAGACATCAATATTATCGGATGCAAAAATGGTATGAATTATCAGGCATAACTAAACCGATCATTTTTATTTTATTTTTTATCATAACATCTGAAACAATAAAAATTAAATCAAACAATTACATACTTGAATTTAAATGTATTGTTCAGTTTGAGAATTAAGTTTAAATTTAACGTCGTTGACAACCCTAGTCCTCATCAACCGATTGCATGTAATGACCGTAGCCAACACCCGATCGCTTTAATCCTCTATTTGCATTGGAAATACTTAGATTCTAACTTTTGCTGGCGCTAACTGCCCGCAAATACAAACAGAAAACCTAAACATTCAACTGCTCAATTGAGAAACGTGCCTTAACAAGAATAGTTTAAATCTAATTTACAATAACATCTGTAACAAATTAAATTTTACAGCATAGTATTGTAATTCGATAATAAATCAGTGTTGTTTCGATGTTAATGTCGATAAGGACTGAATAGTTTCTGAACCCCGGGGTACCGAAAAAGTTTAAGGGGCAGCTGTTTCGGTTTTAGATTTCGTTAAATACATCCAATCTCATCCCATTCTATCCCATTCCACTTATCCCTATTTTATCTTTAATGAAAAAGTTTGTTTGTGCATTTTTTTGAAGTTATCGCGACAATAATAAATGGAATACAATGTTTTACCCCATAAGTTTTATGAAATCTGAAGCAAGATTCAATAGTTTGACATAAAAAATAAATGAAAACAAAAAGTTTGACGTGTATTCCAATGTATATATATATATGTCATCCAACAATAAATGTGACCTTATTATTATATAATTTTAAGTCACAAAAATACCATATAACAATTTGAATGAGATAATGTTACGTCGAATATTTATTTTACCCCATAGGATGTAATATAATATGTATATAGGATAAGCCAAAAGGCCCTAAATACGCAAAGAACTTAGTTCATATAGTTTTACCATTACATTATTGTTCTCGTATTTATATAAAAGTAGACGAACTACTGACCAAAGTTTTATGAGCGAATTTAACTATTGTGATAAAATAATATACCTATAATTTTAAATATCACGTTTTCTTAGTGGCTAAATGATGATGATGACGTTTTCTTGTGCCATGTCTGTCTCATCAAGAAAAATTTATAATAATCTGACCAGTGGTTCACTAATCTTAAGATACGAGTAATTAAATTTTATCACGTATTGGCTTTCTAAGATTTTCAATGCCTTCTTTTTTCGAAATCGATATCTGCAGTTATACAAAGAAGTCCTAAAACAGTCGAAAACTTTATATGTATTTAAAAAGTGATACTGATATTTAGCCATATTAATTAATTTAATATGCTGCAAAATAATGTATCGTTCAAAATAAGATATTATTGTGAGCATTGGTTCGACGGTTTTAATTCAAAAATTGCTGAAATGAATTTTACGGCTTCCAATACGAATTTCATCGAAAATTATGGCAACAGTATTGTAATAAGACAGCAAAATAGTTATTAATATCTGTCATTCGCGTATTTATTATCTTCACTCGTTTATTTTGTAGGTTGTTATAAAGATTTGTATGATAATTTATATTAACTAATTAATAATTATATTTAGTTACTCTTTTACTTATGGAGTAGGTGTTTTTTGTTTATTATTGTTTATAATTATATAATTTTTGAAGCATTTGAACTTGTCTTAGGTACACTATTAATAAACAATCTGATAAATTTTACTTAGATATTGTTTAGAATTAAAACATTTTCAAGCTGGTATCTATAAAGAGTAGGTTTTTTAGAGTATGCTACTCACATAGTCATTGTTAAATGAATTTTATTCGTTAATTTCGACAACAAACAAACAGGCAATGTAGTCCCGGACCAAATATAGCGGTCTTTAAAACTGCCCATTTACCAGTTAAAAAAAAATGCTACAACATAAGGTCTTCCATATACTCGTGTATTAAATCTCGTACATAGCGTCCCTTAATAAAAAATATTTCGTTCTTATTCTATATCAGAAATTTTATTTCACACGAAACGAATAGTTCAACCCCAATACTGACTTTGGAAACTGCAATGATATAGAACGTCCACATTTGTTATAACCCTATATAATAATTATCTTTTTGACTATAAAATTTTAATTAAATAAATGCGACCATTTTATATTTTATACAAATCACAATGGAAAGCATACGTAATAAATTTATTTTTGTTACAATATAACATAGCTGTTATTTATCACGCGTCCGCCCTGATAACCACGGCTACACTTCCTTTGGGATTTAGGTGCGTTTCGTCAGCAACAAACTTATAAAATTTTTACATTATTATTAATTTGACATTTATGCTATAAAGTGTTATTTATATCTTTTGTGAATATAATATTGCAGTCATTACCTTCTTTTATTGTTAATGTGTTAATTGATTTTGAAAGAAAATATTTTAAAACATAATAATATTATATTATTGGTTATTTTATTACATATATAAATAATTAAAAATAATTCATTAGCTGCCGTACAAAATAAGTACATTATTATTACTAATTAATTATAAAAAAATGAATACATCTTTATATAAATGAATGCTTTCAAAATTTTATAAATATTAAAAAAGACGACAGATAGACAAAATTAAATAGGTAATTTAATGCTATTACTGCCGATTAAACGCACGCTACGTATATGTCACCAGCGTATTTCTGAACTAATAATTCTACTGGAACAGCTTTAATTACAGCTCTGTGATTTAAAAAGAAAAAATAATAATATTAATACGGTGCTGTGGTTGAAAATGTGGTTGTTAATTTACTTTGTTGGGATTTTGGGTTCCGCTGTCGGAAATTTCACATTCACATATGATAGTAAGTACTTGAATGGTTTTATTAATTAACGTTTTCATTCCTAGAACTGCAGATTATTTGTTTACATTAATTAATAGTCAGTACGTCGTTGTGTTGGAAAATATATTTTGGAAAAGGGCATGCATAAATTGATTCGATTTAATTAAAATTCATTTAAACTGACAATTTGAATAATTGAAATGATCCAAGCGATCGCTTCCATACCTAACTTAACTGCTCAATTTCAAGATTCCCAACTTCGCCGAAGTTTCCAAACCGAAAGAGTTCGATTCGTAATAGATACTGGTAGGAGCTGCATTTTTTATGACTGAAAATTCAATTGGTTTCAATTGAAAGATTTATTAATTTGGAATTATTTTTCCTACTTTTCGTGATATGATAGATTTTGCATAAATTTATTTTAAATATTTCAAAACCATCAAACGCTTTTTCTAAATTGAAAGATTAGGTACTCAGTATAATTTATTATTAAAATAACCATAATTCCGTGTTTATATCAGTAGTTTAATTTTTTATTGTTATTTATATAATAAACAGGAATGTACCTCTTTACGATATATTTTTTTAGCTTGATGCTTCAGTCATAAAAGGTAATATTCTTCGATTCCTTTCAATTAATTTGAAGTACAAAGATCTTGGTTGAATGCAGTTTGCGAACGCATAATGTAACATCTCCTTTTTTGACATTAGTTGATATCTTAAGATAGTTAAATTAAGTTTCCTCTTTCGTATATACTCTAAAATCACTTAAGAAAATTATTATTAAAAATATTGAAAACAATGAAATTTACATTTATGCTCCCAACAGCCTTAGTTCTTTATTTTGATAAGTATGTTTTAGAATTACCAGCACATGGCTCACAACAAAAACCGTTTTCTCAATACTTAATATAGTACTGTCATTTAGACAGCTATTATTTAGTTTCAAGAAAAGGAGGGTATATTATCCTCTAAGTAAAAATTCTATTTGTCATAGTACGAGTAGTATCAAGGAAGTTTATTTTTGATTGTGTATCAATATAAAACTCGTCAACGCTTCAAGTGAACAAGTAAAGCAGCAAATAAACTGATCTGTACACGATTATACTAAGGTGTATAAAGTGTACATACTTGTTTGTTGCACGAATACAGTATAAAACAAATATTTGTACATAAATGACATTTCAAAGCGGTATGGTTTCAGTGGCGATGCAGTGCAAGGAGCATTTATGTCAACATGGCTACAACTATGAGACATACTACCTGGTTGAATCAGATCAAAGGAAGATTGTAAGATCGGATCCTAGTATAACTTTCGAAATGCACATCGCTATACTAGCAGCTAGCAACGGTCATATACTTCTATCAACTGTCTCACAACCAGACGCGGCCGATCCAGTCTATGAAATAGGTATATATAAAATTTAGAGCTTAAATTTAATAGGAAATATGAATAAAAAATATAAAAGAAAATATTAGTTTTCAATTTTATAATAATGTCCAGAGTGTAGCAATTGACACATATTGGTCAAATTTTAACTCAAATGTAACTTTATTCTTTCAAAAAATATATTTTAAACGTTGATACAATGTTATTAGAGATTATAACAAATTAAAAGCACGAAATTATTTATTCAAAGTCCAACTTTAAATTTATTTAATTTAATGCATATTGGATTCGAGCGTTTTGAATGTTTTTTTTTTTATTAAAATATCATTTTAGCATAGCTCTTATTGTGCTGTTAGTTGATTCAGATGAAATATTTGAGATAAAATGAAAAGAAATGAAATTAGTAAACAATTATAAACGTATTATAAGTTTATAATATTTGTTATTATAAAAATGTAAGACAATTATATTATTTATAGTAAATATTTTGCTTTAAAGTTGTTGGAGGTGGAGGTAATAAATTCACGGAGCTGAGAGGAAATTTGAAAAGGAATGCAAAAGCGTCTGCGAAGACTGTTGGCATTTTATCCACAATTGAGTTCAGGGCGTTTTATATTAAAATAACTGAAGGTAAATATTAATAATCAATTTAAATTGAATTTCATGATGTTTGAATTAAAGGAATTTACAGTGAATTCACCGTAGAATTCTTATAATATACGAATTTATTATTATTACCGATCGAAATTTCCTAAGTAGTATTTGAGAAACACAGTTTTAAACAGAATTTAATAAATAAATTATGTAATTTCAGATGGTCTCATTGAGTTTGGTCGCGAAGGTGATATACTACCTATCTTAAGCTATCAGGACATGGATCCCATAAACATACATTATTTTAGTTTCGCAGCCTGGAATGGTGTGGAAGCTAAATTTCTTTATGATTGTCCCATACCCTTGAAGAATGCTACAGAAGGTATACCACTTAGCTAATGACGAAGTAGTATTAATTTCGACGAAAAATTATCAGTGTTTCTATGAGAATAATATTCCTATGATGCAGTTTAACCTTTTTTGTTATTAATTACCTTTTTCAGTTCCGTCATCTGATTCTGTAATGGTAGAACCGAAAATGTCGAATTCCGATATGCTTAAAAGATCACTGCTTTTAAATAGGGATCCTAATATAGCACCCAGATCTAAAGTTACTGTTCAATTGGGAGTAAAAATCACAAGTATAACGTATGATCCCTTTGAAACCAAATTGCGAACGGGTTTATCTGTGGTTAGGGTAAGTTATTCTATTCTGGCCAATACACCGATTTTTTATATCGTGTAAGTGTATATATAAATGTGTACATGTGTGTTAATTTTTAAAACACGCCAAAACTATCCTTTTAATTTGGAACGCGTTCCGTTTGTAATAATTAGCAAATAGTCACACATTACATATTTAAGTTATAAATAGCTTCAATTATAAAAGATAACGACAAGAGAGAAATTCAATTAGTAACAAAAAATAATCACATCCTTATTTAAAATTATAGTTAATAATATTAATATGTATTTTCTTATATAGAAATGGACTGATGATAGCATGGCGTGGAATCCCCTAAAATTTAATGGAACAAGTCGTCTAACGTTCCGCCAAGGACAAATTTGGAGCCCAAGCCTATCTATTTACAAGTAATTCTCATGATACTCCTAATGCGTTTTAATTTATGCAGTTACCTTGTTGACGTGAAGGCGAAAAAAAAGTTTTATTTTAAAAGTTTTATTTTAAAATACCAATATTTTTTTGCAAAACGATTACTATAATTTTTTTAATCACTTTTATAAAATACTGGTGTTGGTTTTTTTATCCATCTTGTTATAAAGTTTCGTCTCCATACTTTTATAGAGAATATAATATTTAAATGTACATATGTAAATTTTTCAGTTCGGACACTATTGGATTTTTGGATGCCAAAAACTCGGAACCTATAACCATGTTTGAAAGTGGTGAAACGATATTGCATATGCAGACTACGATACAAACTTGGTGTCTTGATTATTCTGACATGTTGACAAAGTAAGTTCCAAAAACCATTATATTCATGGATTCCTGATGTAGATTCACTTTTCAGCTCTCATAATAAAGCATCTGTAATTATTTAAAAATCTACTACGTGATGACGTGTTTTAATGTCTGAGGCTAATATTTTTGAATATTTTGCCAGATTAATGTTGTTTTGCAAGTTCATTATTCGTATACCATGCTTGAATTACTTTAAATTATAATGTTATATAAATGAATATGTATTTAGATGGCCCCACGATGAATACGATTGCGTCATTGTGATTGAACCATGGGAAAATCATGAGGATATAACATTTCAAAAACTAGACCCTGAAGACATGAAAGCTGTGAGAATTTTTCCTCTTAAATATTAATATTTTAAAATGTCATAAAAATATATTTTTTTAACTTCGATGAATATGAAAGTATAATAATACATAAATACATTTTTATCAAATAATATGAGAAAAACAAGTAGTTCTTAATTTGAAATGAAACTAATATTTTTTGAATCATACTACGCGTATTTTGTTGTTTTTAAAAACAAGATACTCCCGGCGTTTCTACATGTTACTTTTTAGCAACCGTGATCACGGGCAGACGAGAAGTGATGTAGTTCACTTAATAAAAATAATTATCCGAAAGTATTTGTTGCATTTAGATGAATACTCGCAAAATTCTTATATCTCATTAGTTATTAATTTTGTTTTATTGAAGGTAAAATATTGTTATCATTAAATGAACTAGTTTGCAGATATCGATGATGTGATACAAAATTCATGGGATATCAAAACGGAACAATACATAGTGAATTCAACATCATGGAATAGCAATTCAAGTGAAAGTGATAGATTCGTTATAGAAGTATTATTAAAAAGACGAGCAACTGCTTTCAATATTGTTTTCTATACACCTTTATTGGGTAAATATAATAAAGCTTTTAATTGTCTTTATTTATTAAAGTTTTAATATCTGAAGCATAAAGGGATTTTGAATATTTTCAAGATATTAATGAATTTAAACAACTACCTTTGTTTTTTCAGTTCTCATGGCATTTATTCTTCTATCATTCTGGACTGAGCCGTTAAATTTAAGGCGGATCTGGTTCTACGCTGGTTGCTCTGTTGTAATATGCTCAGGACTGTGTTACATTGACTTTTTAGTTCCCTGCCACAGTGTTCCTTCAATATGTAAGTAAGGTTATATTTACTAAAAAAAAATATGGAGAAATTTATCCCTCCAATACAACATTCGCGGTATTAATAATCAAAACTAATAGGTTTCATGTTACTTGCAAAAGAATACACAGACATTTTTATATATTTTTTTACACGTTTGAGAAGATTATGTACCAAACATGAAAATAATAGTGCCATTATATCCACATTAGCAAGACTTGAACTTTAAAGATAAACCCTCTTAACCCTGATTTACTTTGAAATCACAATCTTACAACATGATACAAATAAAGATCCAATAACTGAAAATACGTAGTTGAAAAAACAAAACTCAATATTTTTATAACTAAGACCTTACAAACTTATTTTTAAAAATAAACAGCGATCTGTAACAGCTACGTCTATGTATTAAAGTAACTAAAGTACATATGCGCTGCAAATTAATGACATTCTTACCAATTCATTATATTCTGTGCCTAGTATCAGATTTTTGCGTACAATTATATATTTTTTTAATAAAAAGTTAAAATGTATATTAAATGTTTATTCCCTTTTGTAACAATTGATAAAACTCATTTTGTAAAATTTACATTTATTTTGTAAAATTTACACTTAGTAAATAAGCATTTTTTAATCCTAAAGTGAAATGTTTGACATACTTATACTATGTTTTTAAAAATAGTGTAATTTTTTGAAATCTACTATTATTGAACGAAATTATTTCTAAGATAGCATTGAAATTATTGCTTATAAATATTTTCTTTCCCACCGGTTTGTAATTGGTCTGAAATTGATGAATAAACTGTTTGGTGGAACTGTTATTTATATTGCGTCAAAATAAAACCTCTTTTGTAAAACATATAATACATATGAATAAAAGCCTTTTAAACACCGAAATTATATTTAATAGTTACTCTTGTAAACGTAATTGTTAATTATCTTTCTGAAACAAAAATTTTTTAAGCTCGGAACACTAATTATTAATAAAATTTGTTTCTCATCCAGTGGTTCTCTACACAGTGGTTTTGGGTGGAGTGCTTCTTGCTTTATTAATCCATGCGGCGTTAATGACATCACTAACAAAGCGTCTGTGCAAGACGATTACCATTCAAAATATTTTAACAGCCCAGTGGTTTAGAACTCTGTTTTTCCTACCAACATTAAAGGTACTTATCCAATTAAGCTGTAAAATATTTAAATTTATATGTATGTAAATGAAGGTCATATATGAATCTTCATTTATTTTTAGTTTTTGAACGCAGCTTATATGTCATGAGGGTCGCTGCTCTCACTTCTTGGATTTTTTTTTAAGAACACGTGGTGAAATAATTGTTTCATGTTTATGTACACTAATTAATTAAATTAGGAATAAGTTAATAGCTTTAAATGTTGTTTCTTTCACAGGTTTGTAATATTTCTAATAATTACTTTTATGGAACTATAGTGTTTTGTAACATATGATTATTATAATAAAACATTACTTTCACAGAGAAACGCAATTGAGCTTTTATTCCTACATAACCTTTGGTAGTGCGTTAATACACATTATATGTATAGAAATAATAACTTAAATTCTGTATGTTTCAGACTAGCCATATATATGAGACTATAAACAATGACTATGGGGAAAGTAATGAAGATGAAATGGAAACTTCTGGAATTAGAAATATAGAAGCAATGCAGAGTGACAATAAAGAGTACAACGAATCTGTAGAATTAGCAGAAGCAATCGATAAAATATTGTTTTTTATTTACAGCATGACTTTTGCTGTTATGCTTGCTTTGCATTTTTAAAGTTACGGTATTTATATTTTTAATATATCTACCGTTATGAAATGTTGTAATGTACATAATCAATACACTATTGAATTGTATAAATTTTTAATTAAACCAAAAATAGTAATAAAATATATATATTTTTAAGTACATATACTTATTTAGTAATCTATATAATTATCTCTATTATTTTTAGTTTGAATACAGATTGTAATTTTCTATTACTGAATAATTTACTAGTAAAATCTGAAACAAAGCTTTGAAAATTAGGAAAATCACTATCTTGGAAACAACGTTCTGTAAGAAGGGGTGCAATCAGCAACGTTTGCGGAGCCCGCCCACAAAAGCATTAGTAGATGTGATGTTACTTTCAGTGTGTACTCTAATATATAAATCCCGGGCCATGAATATTTTTAAAAGATTGGTCCAAAGTTTATGAAATTACATTACCTACAATCCATCTTACTTTTAACTAGATTTTACCCGCGGCTTTTTTAATATTTAAAGTATAAAGAGCTTTTTAATTTTAGAGACTTTTGAGACTAAGTATTCAATGTTCTGTTCCCGGATTAAACTTAATTAAAAATATAAAATTTTATACTAATTTATTCATAGGTCTTTATGTGTTTGAGTAACAAAAACATAGATATGTACAAAAATAAATCGTTTATTGGTCTTGATAATGATTCATGCCCATAAACAAACCATTTTAAGAAGTCAATTAGTAAATTAACGGACTATCGTTAATTTTTTTCTGCAATTTTTAAATTATATTATGTATATGAATATTCTCATGTTTCATAGCCCCATGCAGTTTCGCTACAAGGCTTAAGGCAAGTGTAACTGAATAGAATATTGTCTTGTCTACAATTCCTAATAACTAATTATTTCATAATGAATACAGTTTAATTAACTAAGATCGGTACAATTATAAAATTTTCCAAAACCCAATAAAATTAATTTAAATAAATCGTAAGTAAAATAAAATCAACGAATATTTTTCTGCTTCAGCAGTATTGAGAAAGAAAATTCTTGTAATAAATCTACTAAAACCATAATTTATTAATAGAAAATTGTCGGGAAGACTCAACCCGCCCTCATTTTCTGTATACGTGAGAAACAACCACAAATTAAATAACTATCAGAGTCACGTACCTCTCTAAGTTTTCTAGAATTTCTTCAATAGACCTCCTAAGTGTACTAATAAATCTTCGATTGATCTTGTTGAAAACTTCTGTAGTAAATTCGAAGTCTGGATTTACAGAGAAACTTCAAAGATCTACTTAAAAAAAAAGAAATTTAGTATCAAACAGCAGCTTCTGGCGACTGAATTATCTTACTTTTGTTTTATTTTCAATACTAAATAAAAGAGTAATGGAAATTTTAATTTAAATTTAAAGTAACTTAAAGCTTTACATTCGTAAAAAATCTTATTACGTTTGATGACGGTTGTCGAGATTTATTTATATCTAACTGTAACTAATACCACGAACAACTGATAAAATACAAAGTATCTTTTCTAATCTTGATAGCATACAGCGCTTGGAAATAAGTATTTGTAGATGATAGTTATCACCGCAAACAGAATCTTATTTCCTATAAACGTTCAAAACAAATCCCATTAATAAATATGTCAGAAAAACAAAACAAATTTTGTTACAAAGGGAAATATTTAAAGATTTATTTTATCCTTTCACCGCGAAACAAATTGAAAAAAGCTATCAAACAAAAACCTTAAAAGGGTATGACCTTGCCCAGATAATACCAACGTCAGTCAACGTTTAATTAAAAAAGTATCTGAAATATATTGGAGAAATTAATCATCCCTAAAATGATTATAAAAGGCTTAATTTAATGTATTACGTATTGTTTTTTCTCTGTCAGTTTAAATATGCAAAAAAAAATTTTCAAAAATCTAATCTAAGTCAATACTATTGTGGAATTTGTAGGAAACTTCAATTATTTACGAAACGTTCACATCGATATAACTCCCATAGGATTGAAAAGTTCAAAGTATTCGAAATTAATTGTATTTAAGATTGAATAACACGAAATAGCTTCGGTCATGGAAAGTATTAAGTGTGTATGTGTGTGTTAATTTACTCCTTCATAAAAGCGGACTTCTAAACCCATATAAATAACATTCTAACCGTTATATTTTTATTTGATTAAATATAAATGTTATTTACACATATATATGGTACATAAAAGAAAAGCCCAAGATAAAAAAACAAGGTCCGAGAACATTTCATATTCTGGTTACATTTCATTCTTTAGGACACTATTCTACGTAAATTTATTGCTTCAATTTTACAAAAAATATATTTATATTAAATCCATCAAATCATTAAATACATGCTTTTTAAAATTTGTTATATTTCAGGCAGTTTTTGAATATGAATAGTTCATTGGTAAACCTGGACCTCCACGATAAGTTTGTATCATTAAACTACATACGTAGCGTTTCCTGTTTTCTATTCATAAATCTTCGAACATGTTATTATTCACGTAGGATTATAAATAAGATACTGAACACACTCCACACTCAGTGTAACAATGCAACGTTGGGGTAAAAAATGCTGACCTGGAGAGACAGTCACAGTGTGAACATTGGAATCTTATGAAAATTCACTTTACCAATAAAATTATTGTTCAATATTTCGATGCGGACAAATATGTATATTTAATCCCGTATCTAAAAGAAAAGAATACATGATAACGATGCAACTACTACTATCCAATTTATTGTTTTTAATAAAATAAATATTGAATAAATAGATATCTCTATTTATTTTTATCTATTTATTTTTTATATCTCTATTATCTAAATTTTATCATTATTCAAACTCAAATCAATACAAAATGTTAACTTAACTCAATATGTTAGAAAAATAATCGTAGATATTTCTGTATTTCCTTTTATGGAAGAGGAAAAATTATAATAACAACATTGTGTAATAGAAACAATAGATACGTGATAAATTGATCAGATAAACATAGAAGTTAATATATTTGAACAATTAAAATATTCCTAAAAAGTTTCAAATATTTTTAGTTTAATATAGGTTTAAAATTTGATATATACCTGTGAATGAAGTTGGAAACCTTATTTCCATTAAATATTATTGTAACAAAGTGTAATAAATTCTCATTCATTGCTTTTAATAAATATCATATAAATACCGCCATGGACGCCGTTCCACCTGAACTAGTTTTGCTATAAAAAGTTTTTGTAATTCTATAGTAGAGTTCATTATTTATTGAGTTATAATTTAACGCGGACACAAGCAATGAACATTTTACTGAGTCCGGTTTATTCATTTTATCGCTGTTTGTATCTTTACGAGTTTCTCTTGTGAACGATGAATAAAATATAACCAATTCTGTCTCTACCTTGGAAAAACATTTCTACTACGGGAGGCTGTTACCGACTTCTAAATAAAATGGTTTTATTTTTCTTGCCTTTATAGTATTTATTATGATTGTTATGAGATGACTCATGCATTTATAATACTGATTTCTTCAATGTCGTCTTATTAAATATTATTTAACAAGAGGCTAACTATAAGAGATAAAAAAAAAATATTACAAAGACAAAAAAAAGGCGAAACTTGAATTAAGCAGAGATTTTTTTATATACTAAAAAAATCGTACAAGTGACATTTACACACAGTCAAATGCGTCTACCTTCAGAACCGTAGTAACATTTTTTCCCAGTTGTAAAAAGTAAAAATAATTACAATTTCAGTGCAAAAATAATGAGAATAGCAGCCCTGAGAATTCTAACACTTATGAATATAAGACCAATAATATTATTTCTCTCAACCGTTTTTCGTTGTTAGCAATTTTCACACTTTGGAAAGAAAACATTATTTATTTGAATGAATTATTTTAATCAAACTAATGAATTTTACGAAATAACTGAAACTATTAAACAAAAGGAAAGCCGACAATGTAATAGAAATAATTTTGAGGCTTCGCAACAAATCCAAACGTCTTGGATATTTTTTTAAATCTCTCCCTATTCCTCATCAACTTTGTCTCCCGGGATCATGGTTGAAGCCTTTTATTAAAATAATAAGGCTCTCTCAGACCTAGAAGTCTTCTATATTACATTTTAGGCAGTTTCATTTAAAGAAACAGTGTTAAATTTTCTTGCTTCTAAAACTTTTCGGCCTCTTCGTTGTTTGGTACAAAATTATGTTATAACTAAGATTCGCCTTTTCTTACTAAGTTATACAGAAAGTTTGGCAAGTTATACAAAATTGTTGTTGTTATTTTGAATACACAAAAGGTTGAAATCTTTAGGTTACCTACATAGGGATGCTGTTAATAATGAAGTTGTCCTTTTGTCAACTATATATACTCTGAGCGTGTTTTGGATCATTATACATATTATTCCTGTAATCCACTCATGTACACAGCAATGTAATGTGACATTATTCGCTTCGTCGATTCCAAAACGACTGGACGCCTTTAGTTGTTATACGATATCCGAAAAAGAATGTGACCGTGTTATAATCGATAAAGGAATAAAATTATATAGGTAATTAACTTTTTTAAATACTTTATAAGTTGTAATACAAATAATTTTAAATTAAATTTTTTTTTCTATAATTTTATTTATTACAAAGTTAAAATCTTTAGAATTATTCTCATCGTAAAATTTCCATTATTATCTCATAGAGATTAGGTACAATGCAAATCGGAGATGAAACCGAATGTTATTTGCATACTAATGTACTTGTCAGAATGTACAGATTGAAAATAATTTAATTAAAAGTCGGCGGATCAGTGTTAACCGACCTGAGCATAATTTGGTTAAAAATTGTATAATAGGTTTTTATACTGCTCTTTCTTCTGAAATAGATACAAATATTTAATTAAGTGATAGCATTCCTTTATAATCTAAAAACAATTTACAATATCAATAATAGTTACGAAGAAATAACTTTAATTTCCCAATATTTTGAAACAATATTATTGTAAAACATATTTTGTTCGAGTCAATATTGAAT